CTATGCAGGGGGTCGGACTTGATGATCTATTGAGGTCCCGACCCTAACATCTGTGAATAAGAGGGAAGTGTTCAAAGAAATGGCAACTCCCACATCTGGCACTTGGGGACACAGGGAGACAGGAGGCTGCTCAGGAGACTCAGCTTCTCTTGTGCATTAGGACTGTGTGAAATTTTGATGAGTATTTCTTTTCAAAGCTGTTTTAATACATTTTGAGCTCAAAACAGCAAAATTGAAACAAACAAAAGGCTTTGAAACAGCTTCAAAATGAAATGAGGGCATTTGAAAGTTTTTCTAAACATTTTGAGTTTCAAAGCAGCCTGTGGAAGGAGGTGGGGGAGAGCCAGGGCTGCGCTCTGGGCAGCTCTGCCAGCCCCATGGAGCTCAGTCCAGCAGCGGGAGCTGGTGGGAGAGCAAGTGGTGGAGCCACTCAGAGTGCAGCGCTGGCTCCGAGCGCAGTCCTGGCCAGTGGCTCTCCCCTGCCTCCAGGCTCAGCTCCATGGGGCTGGGGAGCCTCCCGCCACTGGGCTGTGCTTGCCAGGACTGCACTCCAAGCAGCTCCGCCACTGGCTTTCCCGCCATCTCCCACCGCCGGGCTGAGCTCCATGGGGCTGGCGGACCCGCTCGGAGCGCAGCCCTGGTTCCGAGCACAGTCCGGTGGCTGATGGCTCCACAGCCTCGCGGAGCTGAGCCTGGTAGCAAGTGATGCCATTTTTGCTTTTAGCAGTTTCAGGTGCAGTTTCCCAGAAACCTCTGCATCTATCTCCTTGAAACTTGGCAGGCTGCATGCCCTCAGAAGGGGGCTACCATCCCTGCAATTTTCATCCGAATCGGGCACAAAATGACAAAGTTATAGGCATTTTTATGATTCCCCATTATAGCCTATAGGCAAAACATTGAAACGCATCCAAACAGTGAAATAGCTTCAACAAAATGACAAAACAAAGCACTGTCCCTTTGAAATGGCGTAACACAAGGCGAAACAAAATGGTGCTTTTTTACACAGCTCTATTGTGCATTTCACTGGAGCCATCTGAACTTTGCAGATCTGATTTTACATAGCATAAGCTTAAGGGCAACAGGCTTCTAAAGGCATCATATAGGGGGCTTTTCAGAACCTAGTGCTGAGGAGCTGGAAACACCGCAGCAGGCCAGC